GTTACTGCACGACCGAGCTTCCTAATTTGTTAATTTATCATGTTGCTCACATATGATCTATTCACCGTAAATCCACCAATAAATATTCTATTTTATTCACCTCTTTCCAGCTTACTCCTCAGACGCATTTGTGCCATAACTAGGGTCCGTCGTACCGTCTCTTGATTTCTCATAAAAATTTGTTTTAAACTGATTTATCGGGAACAGTCTACGACTGTTTTGATGGTACTATCAGGCTCGCCTGGTGCGCAAGAGACATAAACTGCCATCGGCTTGCCTTTTAAACTTGTTCGGAGTGTGGAAAACATCAGCAGCCTTGCCAGTACGAGAAGTTGCTTGTAAGAAAAGTGCTATTAATCTAAACTGTAGAAGATGACAGCATGCTGGGGGTAGTTGCACTTCAGGACGACTGTCCCAGGAAGAATATCCATATCGCCCAGACTATCAGTATGGGTATCCTCATGTTAGTGATGTTACTAGAATGCTTCTAAAAGTCCGCCGCAACTATACCATGCTCGCAAATTCTGTATATCTTCGTTGAAATTTGAAATAGTTGATGTGGAATTACACGCATTTGCAGTTGCCTTTCTCGGTTTTTCGTAATGTTTGCATAATTTGGGGTTAGTGGCGCTGCATTGGTACGGCGAGTTAAACATGCGCTTTTCACGGTAAACATAGAACAGAATATTTCCAAGCTTGGTTCTGGACAAATCCATTTCTAGTTATGCATATAGGCACCAGACGCATGGCATCTGCCGAAACGGAACATATCTATGTTAATCTTATATCTCTTGTGCTGTTGCTTGCTTTTTCTACTGATTGGCGTATTTAAACATGAAGTAAATACTGTTGTGAGTACGCTTGTGGTACTTATCACACTCATCAACGAGCGATTGCCTCCATTATGAAAGGATTATGAAAGGGCAATCAAAAGTCAAAACTCTCTCCATATTCATTTTCAACGAGTTTTGGAATTACTCCGATAGTAAATGCCAAAAAAAACCCTCTGACAAGACTGTCAATGACTTGCCTTTTCGAGGGTTGCTTAGAAGCAAGCTGATAACGGGTGTGTCTCGCTGGCACGGGCCAGTAGAGAAGCATGTTGATGGTGGGTTTGACCTCTTTCTATCTGGCATTTTGTGAAAATCTACGAAGCTTTAATATGAATGATATGTGGGCGGAATTCTGGGGCGTTTGCAGATCCTGATGCGGAATACCTATCGAGCAAAAATTCCGGCCTGCGTTAGCAACGCTCGATGATGGGTTCCGCAGGCACAATGCAGCAGCGAGATCGGCGTCTGATCCAGTCATCCATCGTCGCTTTGCCCGGTCACTTTTCAGCTTCATCCGGAGCATTTTCCTGAAAAATTAAAGTATAAATGCTAATTAAGCATATATATGTGAAAGCTGATCAAATCCGTTGCTTTTTCCAATGCGTACATCAAGAGACTGGACAAACAATCATCCGCTTCATACACCTTGAGTTGCTTTACTCCTTAGCTTCTGTGGTAACGAGGAGAAAATCACCTGAAAAACAGGGAAGAGGGCGATAGTCAGTTGCTGTTTTTTTTAGAAAATAAAGATAAATAGAGACTATTATTTTTTTTCCCCAAGAAAGAGCGTGCTGACCAGTTGTTCTTGGAGAGGAAAAAGCCAAAGAAACCGCGCTACTCTGAGTAATTTCTAGCTGCACCATTGATTTCAATATTTGAATATTGGGTATATTTGTTTCAGGATGTCGTGATCGCTTCGGCTCACCATTGTTATTTATAAGTCCTCCGGAGAATGATGCACAATCCGGTATTCTTAAGGAATTTTCAACTACATAATTATTCAATAATTTTTGACTTAATGGTGCATTCAGTGTTGAGGAAAAAAGCAGTATTCTTAATTTGCTGCCGGCTTTCTTTGCTTTTCACCACGTATTTCCTGCTGAATTTGATATTTAAGTTTAGTACCATACTGTGAATTATCGACAGCCGACGTGTGGAAGTATCCCAGTAATATCGCTGTTGGTGTTGTTGGCATAAGCGGATCCAGGGTGTCTCTCGGAGGAGTGGAGGGTGGGGGAGCGAGATTTCTCACCTCCCCTTCTCCCTTCGCCGTTACACCTCTCTTCCCTCTGCCAGCTCACAACCCACTCCTCGATCGTCGCGCTACCCTCTTTTCCCCTCCCCCTCGCTCTTACTGAATAAATTAAAAGTGACAGGGCTCCTCGGGAGTGTGGGAGGGAGGGGGGCGAGAGGCAATACCGAACACACTTTTATACAGTAAAACAACTTCTACCTAAGCCCCTGGGGAGGCGAAAGCCACTGGCCTCCTTCCCCTCCCCTCTGGATCCGCCAATGGTTCTTGGTAATTTAGTACCAGCAAATTCCGCACCTCTTCTGCTGCGGAACTTAATGCAGTTGATTTATTTGACTAACATTTTCGTCCCTCCAATTACAGGGCTTTTAATGTCCAATAGCGATAAAGCTATCGTTTTTGGCTCTATCGTATCGGCTTCTATTTAAAACGGTTTCGAAGAAGCTGGACACTGCGCGGTTTAGGTTCCACGGAAGAAAGCGATTATTTTTCGAATTTTTTGTACTGTTCTTTTGCCGTAGCTTCAAAAGATTCCCCACTTTCGCTTCATGATAAATCTATGTCCTGTACTTATTCAGTAGTTTTGGTTCTCGCATCTACAAATTTTGTCTCTCTTCCTCTTTTTCCGAAGCATAAAAGATGGTGTAGTCTTATAATCCTGGCACAGATTAGCTGACATATACGCCTCTTGTGCAGGCACTGAAGGAGTTGCTACTGCTGCTGCTGCTGCTGCTCCGAGCTATGAGGAACTGGTGTCAGTGATCAGTTACTTGGCTCAAATCCCGGATGAACGTGCGCGTAGACTCGGATTCACGGTGCTGATCGATGGACGCAGAGCTCCTTTGAAGCACGTGCGCAATGCACTGCGAGCGTGCCAGGTTGGTGCTCCTCAACTCGGCACTAAATTTAAATGCCATTTAGCGAAATTTGGCATATTTTCATAAGTGAGACCTGGGCATCAGTTCAAATTCGATGTTATGCATATGTAAACGTATGATGTTGTAGAACAAGCGCACAAAATTCCTGAAAATCCGAGGTTTTGATTAAATTACGCCCTTTTTGGGATTTTTTTTTTTTTGCGTATTTCTTTCGGTTTTCTATTGAAATTCAATCCTTTTCTTATTTAATTTAGTTTTTTTTTTGTTTTTTTGTAGTTAAGATAGTAGGACAAAGATTTTGGATTCTCTCCTCTTTTTTTAAAATGGTTTCACGGATCATTCATTGCAGCAAGCATTATATCGGCAAATTCGATTGGTACTCATCGTTCAGCCGGAAAAATTCCTCTACCAACAGAAGCTTAATTTTGAGTTAATCAAAGAAGCATATCAGTTCAAGGTTATTACTTAAATTTTTCAAGCAATTCTTGCAAAATGCGCAAAAAACTTAAATATTTGTGTGCATATGAGTGTGTGTATGAATTATTATGTATGTGGGTTTGTGTTTGCTTGAAACCTCATCCTACGAGTTATGGTCGAAGAAGCCGAGCTGCAAGCTGAACGCTTAAATAACTTATATCTGTGCCTAGTTTCATGCTTATCACTGTATCGTTTTGGAAGGCAACGTGCTGTACTTACTATAGCATGAAACCAACTTTGTGGCTTTCTGTATTCCGAGTATCGATTTCAAGTGCAAGAACCTAATCCGTTAACTTTAAGCTGCATTACATATATGCTTTTACAGAGCACACTCATCTCGATACATAAGTTATCGCGTTTCGTAGACGTCACGCAGTTGCCGGATATTTTCGGTGGAACTTTCCAGTACGAGCCAAATTCCTGGATACGTCTTAGAGAAGTATTCAGAGCTGCTGCTTCTTTACTTTCTAGATGAAAAAGCTAATTCTCTTCTCTTTCGTATTCACTGTAGACTTGAAAGATGATGCTTGATAAAAAAGGCCGTAAATGAATTTTGCCGTTCTAGAATTTCGAGAACTTCGTCACGAAAGCAAATAACTGGATTCAGAGCCGTAGAAAGCATGAGAAGTTGGCCGGTGCGACGACTTCGGATGAAAGCAATGATAGCGCTGATGAACGGAGGGCTTCTGAATTGAACGAACTTCTGAAAATGGGTAAGCACCTTCATTTCGTAAAATTTTTGCGAAGTATTGTAACCCCAACAAAAGGCAGCTCTATCTGGCACCGAGCCAGGTCGCGGACAAGTAAGAGGCTGCCATTAAATTTGCGCACAAAAAATGTTACGTCCGTCCGGGCAACTGGTGTAAGTACTCCATGTTAGTGTTGGTAATGAAATGTTCCTACACGTCGAGACAAAATTTTTCGATCCTGAGCTGCTTACTTACGCCAGTACCCAACCTTTGTTCGATGCATATGCGCCATT